GAAAATAAATATCATATATAAATTTACCATACACCATTTACATATATATATATATATATATATATATATATATATAAATAGTAATCATTGAAGAAAAGACAAATGTGAACAACAAAAACAATGGAAAATTCTTAGTTTTAAATTTTTATTAAGAGCACACAAAAGAATTAACATTGATATTTCATGAGTCATTAAGATGATCAATTAATTTTTGAATGGTTAATAATCTATAGATTTATTTAAGAAAAATTAGAAAAAATATTAGAGTACAAAAGTATCATATAGGAAACTTTGACATTTCAAATATGCTGGTGCCTCAAGAAAACCACCACTCATTTGAATCGCACTAATAAACAATAAAATAAAATAAATAGCTTGAGAAGATTTAGGGCAAAATCCAAGAAAATAAAGATGATAATAGTATGACAATTTATTAATGCATAAGTCTCTCAAGACACGTGTTGCTATTTAATTTAGAATGTTTGTGAAAATGTAACGAATTTAATAAGTAACTGTTTATGACAGAATCAAAATTCTTCATTAAAATTTTACGATATTGAAATTCGTTAAGGATTATCATCATCACAAAATCTATTTTTAAATTTATTTGTGATTGAATTTCTGTATTAATGGCAGAATAACTACCCTTTCTAAATTCTTTTTTTAGTAGTGATTGTTTAGTTGCATCAAAGAGTAGAAATCTTTAATAGTAACAATGAGGTCATGAATTTGCACAAACAAAATAATATTGAATATCGGCTCTATGAAAAACACACACTATGTTGAATATAGTAAGTGTGAGTAGTATGAGTAATAGTCTTATATTGGTTAGAAATGTAAAGACTTGAATATTTATAAGTGAAATAGTTCATACACTCTCACCTTAAAGTTTTGGATAAATATGTGGTGCGTCTCTTACAAAGATGTTGCTCTAAAAAGTAAGTCCCACAACCTAGTGAAAATACTTCACCAACAGTAGTATCAAAGTCTGGTTTGAGTGAAGAATCGAATCGCTTGTATCGAAAGTACTTCCTACGGGTGATGGGTATGAGGTGTTCCGTTGAAGAGTGTCAACGACGGTACAATTGTATGTGGATGAAAAAGAGTGGATTTGAATGAATATGTGGTGTGTCTCTCACAAAGGTGTTGCTTTAAAAACTAAGTCCCACAATATTCAATGTTTTCTAGTGAACAAACTTCCCCAACACACTAAACATTTTTGAGATTTTTTTCATCCTATATGTTTCTAGCACATCGTGTGGATTTCCACTTATGCTCTCAGGTTCTGGAGATATATCTCCGGACACACCCCAGTTCTGAATAAACGTTAACATATTCCGAAAATATATCTCCGGAACTATTTTAAACTTTAAACGCTCAGAGCACGTCTCTCATAACCCATTTGCATTTGAATATTTTCGGAGATGCATCTACCAAAATTTTCCTGAGATACATCTCTGAAGTGTATCAATACAGGTTTTTTTTATAACACACTGTGTATTTGTTTTCAGATGAATTATGAAGCACGGTCTCGAATAAAATAACAGACATACAAAATAATATAGTAATATAATAGTAAAATGTCGTACAACACGAAATTCAAAATGTAGTAACAATGTCAGAAAAAAAAACACAAACTATAGTACTACATCAAACTAATAATAGGGTCCTACTGGGTGTGCTTGACAACCTCTCATCTACCTCCTATGTTTGGTCTGCCTCCTCGCCCATCGATCCCTCCGTCCTCGCGCGATGTCTGCGGTACAAAAGTGCCCCATGTGTCTCTGCAAAAATGTCATCTAATACTCGCCTGACAGCAAACCCTTCAGGAAAGATACTCTCGTCAATGTCTGGCTGTGAAATCTCCATTATGTGACGCGCTCGGATAAATGAGGAGCAGTGATACAGGATCCACGGGTTAGCCATCTGAAGTATAAAGATATGTCATCAAATGGTCGCGTTTGACGGTGATCCACGTAGCTGTTGAAGTGGATGTCCTCAACAACCAAGTGGTCAAAATAGACTCTGAAAGGCTCGACCGTCTGATTCCCTCTCAGCGGGATAAAAATACAGGCACGGGGCATGTCCTCAGTGTACTTATCCCAACTCGCCTAGCCAATGATTCGCGGGAAATGCTGGATTATCCAAACCTGAAATGAAAATAAAAATAAAAATATCCAGGGATCAATGATATGCAAATATGAAATGAAAAGAATAATATTAAAAAAAAAGCATTCAAGGATAAAGATGAAAAATTATTACCACTAAAAGTGTTGTGCAAAACAAGAAAATTATAAACAAAAATAAAGCATTATACCTGCAAGGTAAAATTAGGTGTATAACTAGTTTACGTAAAACAAGAAAATTATAAAAGTTAAAAAAAAAACAGATTGGCGAAATTCTAGAGATATAATTACGAAAATACCTCTTATACTATTTTGGAGATGTATCTCTGAAATTTCTTAAAACATATGAAACGTTGAACATTTTTGGAGATTTATCTCTAGAATGTTCTGAGAATCAGAGGTCGCTACAATGACATTCTTTGCTACTTGGGTTGTGAAAAATAAACACCTGATCATCCATGTGAGCCAACAAACAATGCATACACTTACTCTAAATCATGTTTCATGTGATTTCTAAACATTTCTACACCTAACAATTGATTCTAACTCGTTTATAATAAAACTCGAATATTTATCGAAAACTCAAAAAATTTATAAGAAATTTATGATTTGGAAAATGTTGAATAATGTAATTGATGATGCTTAATTTTTCTGAGATACATCTTCGAAGCGTATCAGTACAAGATTTTTTATAACACAATGTTAATTTGTTTTCAGATGAATTATGAAGCACGATCTTGAATAAAATAACACATACAAAATAATATAGCAATATAATAGTAAAATATCGTACAACACGAAATCCAAAATATAGTAACAATGTCAGAAAAAATACAAACTATAGTACTACATCAAACTAATAATAGGGTCCTACTGAGTGTGTCTGACAACCACTAATCTACCTCCTCTGTCTAGTCTGCCTCCTCGCCCATTGATCCCTTCGTCCTCGCGCGATGTTTGTGGTACAAAAGTGTCCTATGTGCCTCCACAACAATGTCATCCAATACTCACTTGACATCAGACCCTTCAGGGAAGATACTCTCGTCAATGTTTGCCCGTGAAATCTCCAATCTGTGACGCGCTCGGGAAAATAAGGAGCAATGATACATGACCCGCGGGCCAGCCATCCGAAGTATAGAGATATGTCGTCAAATGGTCGCGTCTGACGGTGATCCACGTAGCTGTTGAAATAGATGTCCTCAACAACCAAGTGGTCAAAATAGACTCTGAAAGACTCGACCGACTGATTCCCTCTCAGCGGAATAAAAGCACAGACACGGGGCATGTCCTCAGTGTACTTATCCCAACTCACCCAACCAACGATTCGCAGGAAGTGTTGGATTATGCAAGCCTAAAATGAAAATAAAAATAAAAACATCCAGGGATCAATGATTTGCAAATATGAAATGAAAAAAAATAATATAAAAAAACATTTAAGGATCAAGATAAAAAATTATTACCACTAGTAGTGTTGTGCAAAACAAGAAAATTATAAAGAAAAATAAAACATTTCAGAGTCAAACTAATTATTATTTTTTACACCTAACAATTGATTCTAACTCGTTTACAACAAAACTCGAATATTAGGCGTACACTTACTCTAAACCTGTTTCATGTGATTTCTAAACATTTCTACACCTAACAATTGATTCTAACTCGTTTACAACAAAACTCGAATATTAGGCGTACACTTACTCTAAACCTGTTTCATGTGATTTCTAAACATTTCTACACCTAACAATTGATTCTAACTCGTTTACAACAAAACTCGAATATTTACCGAAAACTCAAAAAACTTGTAAAAAATTTATAATTTGAAAAATGTTGAATGATATAATTGATGATGCTTAATGTTTCCTTGAGTCTCCTATTGATGAAATCTGATTTGCTGAATTTGGAGAATATTGAGAATGAGAGAATTAAAGATTTGTGTTTGACTGAAAATGAAAAGTAGAGGAGAAGAAAGGTCTGACGCGGTATTAAGCTCCAAAATATTTTGGAGATTGAGATGATAAAAGAGGGGGTCAAATATTTTGTCTGTAATAAGAGGAGAATGAGGTGATAAAAGAGGAAAAAAGAGATAATCTTTTAGGTTTGTTAAGAAGCTTGTTTTCCTAAGAGGTCATGCGATTTGCAGTTGAAGTAAGAGTGTTTCACTCTATCTTTTAAAATAGAAAATTCTAGAAACTTGTCTAACAAGGAAATGTTGCGGATGTCGGAGATATGAGTAAGATGATTTATTTTTGCCTAGGGGAAGCCAAAGGAGAAGAAGACATGAGATTTGGCAAGGTAAATAATTGGGCTAGAGGCACAGCTAATCGATCAAAGAGAGTAACCATATTTCTGAGTTGAGAGTTCTTTGCTTTAGTGAACAATAATATGTCATCAGCAAAAAGGAGAAATACATGAGATCTATTGTTAGATATGCGTATAGGAGGATTTCATAAACCACTCCAGACTGCAAAAGTTAATTCACATTTGAAAGTAAGAGAGAGACAAAATGAGAATATAATTTTGATTCAAAATAATCAGAACAAAGGTAGTTATAATTTTGTTATTCCAATGTTATTCTGATTTAATTACTATGAATAAATTAATCATAATTATATGTTATTAAAATAAATAGAGGTTATGCTATTTTAGACTATTAAAAGAAATTTATGATGAAATCTTTTTTTCTTTGCTCTTTGAATCGATGGGAGATAACATTAATTGTAATAGTAGCAAAAATTAGAGTACAAAGAGACTGAATTTCAGGCAACAATTTGCACCATTATATCCTTACATCCTATAAACAACATATAAATCTCAAAGATTACAACATTACAAGGATACAGAGAAGGAACCATATCAGTATGATGGCAGACCAATTACCTATTTACCATTAATATATTCGAGAAGGTGCCGATCCAGCTCAAAATGTCGAGAAAGTAGTCCCTGCAGCCCATAATCCATACGATACATGGTTAAACAAACCTTGATTTTTCTCATTTTATTTTCAACTCACTTTAAAGGAGCTAAATTCGACGGATAATGGGTAATCCAAGCAATATTCAAAAGATACCTTTGTAATTGTAGGGTTGAAAAATGTTGTTTCGGAACCCAACTCTGGAAAGCGGGAAACCTCAGCGGCATTCTCGAATAAGATATATGTTGGGAGCTGACCCATGCTTCCTGACAATCAAAAGACTTCATATAAGTTGAATATTTCCACAACAATAATAACTAAAGAAACTAAGACTAGTAAAACAGTAAAAATTACTTTAAAATAGGAAATAAGGAAAATTAAATTATATATATACACAAGTACCACTAAGAGATACTCCAAATTTTTCAGCTGCATTGGGAAAGAGTCCAAGATCAACTATTCCAAATGATAAAAGTTTGCTTGAATATCTGTTAGAGACATGAACACACAGGACATTGTCAAATGCAGTTTATCACAATAGTTTTTCTAGAAACTGCTGGTTCTAAACCATCTGTCAAATGTGTTTGGTAGGTCTTAATGAAAGTCTTTCCAAGGAAACATAAATTTAATTAGGGGCAACTGTGAAAGAAAAAATGAATGCTTGTCTCCATTAACAAAGATGTTTCCACAAACCAATCAGATTCTGAACTTTGGACAACTTCTTTTATATCTATTACATTAAAGGCATAAAAGCTATTTGTATCAGATGAGGAAGTACAAAAACCCGGGTTTGCCCAATAAACAGAAACTCTTGCACTAATTTTGTTTTTAGTTGAAGGATGTGTCAATAATCAAAATAAAGTCAAGAAGAAGCATACGTAATTGAGAGCTCGGGAAACTGTTGACTTGATCGAATGCAAGCAGATGAATAAGAAGCACTGAATTCCACCTGAAACTCATGGAAAGAGAGAAGAATAAATAAAACAAATGGAGAAAGAAAGAAATCTAAGATATAAGCAATGACATGGCATTATGGTAACACTCCCTCCACAGACTTTTGATATTAAATTTTACTCTTTCAAAATTGGACGTGTTATAATTTTCATGTAGTGCAGGTTTAAACATAGTCAACCATTAAATCACAACAGGGGAAAAAAGCAGAAGTAAATCTTCTAAGCTACCATATTTTATTCAAATGGTCCAACCAACTCCTCCATAATATAGCTAAGAAATCTATACAAAATTTAAATTTTGTAAATACAGTTGTTGTTGATTTGATTGCTTTTATAAAACATTTTATAAAAGATTCGGAGGCAAGCCATGAAAGCATGTGACTTTTGTTTAACTGAGTATTTTTAAGTGAAAGTAAAACAAAGTATATGAAAAGAAAGTTTAGCAAGAGGAATACAAACTCTTGCATAAAGCAAGAATTCAATCATAAGATCCAGGTACAGTAAAGGTAGATGAAATGGAAGAATGATTTAGGAGTAATTTATGATAATTACCACTCAAGCTTATAAGGAGTCTCAGTCTCTAACCTCAAAACCGCTAAAGCAGAAGAGCAAAAAAGTGTCACTCTTGACAAGAAAACAAGATTGATGTTGGCATGGATGAGAATATTATAATAGGATTATGAATGATTAAATCAGAGAAAAAATAAGGACAGCTCCAATTGTTAAAAAGATGGCAGAGTTTTGTCTGAGTCTGACGTTGTTTAGGTATGTGTGGAGATGGACCACAGATGAGCTATTGCAGAGATGTAGTCCGACTCCAAATAGAAAATAATCCAACAATTAGAGAGAGAGGGGGAGAGACTAAAAATAATTATAGCCAAACTATTAAGAAAAATTGAAGTTAAATTCGTTAGATACGATTCATGATGGAGTATTATGATGTTGTTAGATTTTTGTAGCTGATCCACAAAGTAAAAAAACATATTAATTGTTGTTGTGTGTAAATAGGGTTATTGATCAACCTTATGTTCCATTAAGGTTACAATCATGGGTACTTGTTTAGTGAGAAAATCAGAAAGGAATTCCATTCAATTCAGTACTTACCAGCCAAAATTTTGTAGTGTTCCCCTCTGTTAGCAGGCTTTCCAACAACAATGGTGTTAGTTTGCTACAGGTACCTGGAAGAATTAACAAAGTAGAAGCAGAATTTTATCAGATGATAAAATTATAATAAAACAACGAGTTCTCGTAGTTTCCATTACGTCTTCAACTGGGAAGCTTGAAAAACAATATAATGAAAAAATATAAGGGAAAATCAGCTAAATCCAACTATCAATACCTAGTCCTTGAGATGAAGGTTGTTGTGTCAGCACATGTATAACTGCAATACAGAACATAACCATAAATATTCATGTATATATTACTTGAGTGGTTGAATCACATAGTCTGTAATTAACTTTCAGCATATATCCAATGCACATCACGAACTTATTGCCAAAATAGGGTGCAAGCAAAATCAATTTTACAATTTTGAAAATGGCATTTTTTATATCAAATGCTATTTTTTCTATAACAAAAGAATTTATTTCGTGGTTGATAATGCATACTTCTGAATAATTGCAGGAAAAAGCAAAATGGTATAATTGCAAACAATATATTCAATGCTTAAAAGATTAAAATTAGATAAATTACCCACCTAAAAATACAAGAATATACCAAACGGCTATGCGGCGATCCATTGTAAAGGTAAGGACAAAAAGACAAATCTGAACATATTAAAATAAGATATAAAAGCTGAGAAGCGCCATATAGACTTAGAAGGAGATTAAATTAAACCAATGCAAATACAGAACTTAATTTAACACAACAATACATTCATTACTTGATCAAAACTGTCCAATCACTAAATAACAAAAGTCAGTAAGAAAGCCATCACAATGCATAACCCATATCACATATTCAAGTTCAATTTAAAACTAAAAAATCTAAACTTTATCATACAAATAGAAAAAAAAATGGTAAGGGGGGGACTGAGAAATGACTTGTGAATCGAAGAAGGAAGCCGTAAAAAGTTTTGCAAATGCATCCATGTAATCACCTTGGCAATGAAAAGTGCATCAGCTATGAAGGCTTCCCATGTCTCTTCTCTAATACCCTACAACAAAGAAACCGGAGAAAATCAAATACATGTACGTAAATGTCCAAGGTTGCATGTCGGCAGCATGCGAGAGCAGATGTGGAATCTATTCACAAGAATTGAAAATCTAGCCAAATCAGAACGGCTTAAACATGCATGATATTGACAATCTAGCCAAATCAGAGTGACAATCTTGTTGGACTATATATATCATTAAGATTCAATGAATTCGACATTGATGTCAAATTCCTAACATTGAAAGAAAAATTTTAAAAATCCGTGGCCTTAATTCTAGCAATTTCACCACCAATTCAAACATACACTAAATTGACATATCAACATATAAAAAAAACTTCTAAAATTAATATGAAAACATAATCTATACGCAATAGTTACAGTTCCTAATTTAAACTTGTAGAAATTGATTTAATGCAAAATATCATTCTGTGTGCAGTGAATTCAAGATTAGGTAACAAATTGGATCTGATTTGAAAAGAACGTACCTTGATGAAAGCCAAAACAGCGAAAGCTAAAAGCGTTTGTATTTCCTGAAAATGAAATTCAACTACTTAATAAGAGAACGAATAAATAAGCGATTATCGAGATAGATGGAAGAGAAAAGAGAGTTACGCGACGGATGAGAATTTGAATGAGGTGAGGCGCTAAAACTTGCGATGCGGAGCAGCGAATGACTATGTAGGAGAAAAAGGTTAAGAAATGGAAGAGATAGTGAGGTTCTGAAACCGTTTGATTCAGCAACTTCATCACTGAAAAAGTACTGCTACTTTCTTTTCCCATTTCGTTTGGTAGATAACTTGTTGGCTCAGATCTGAATTCGGTGATTTCTTGTTCTTGGTTTCAGTCGGAACTTACTTGCTCATTGGCCGTTGCTAACCAGAATTCTTGGTGTTGCAGAGAAATGTTTTTTTGTTGCACTATAGGCCAGGATTTGGAAGTATAGAAAATTTTACTCGATACCCCCTTCCAAGAGTTTCTTATTACACCCCATAGTTTTTTAGACCGCCTCCGAAATTTTTATAATGTTTTTAGCTTTCGAAAATATATCGAGAAAAGCTATTTTGGATGGTGCTCCATGCATTTGCTAAGAATTTATTATGGAGATATATCTCCAGAATAATTTGGAGAACATATTAATATTAATCAATTCGGTGAATATTTTGGAAATATATTTTCAGACGATGTAGGCGGCAATTTGAATTTTTCTGTCACCTTTACATGTCAGATTATTTCAGAGATATATCTCTAAAAGTATACGATATATTTTTCAATTGCATTATCAGACCTCATTGTTGTCATACTTTTATTCCAACTCAAACTTTCACCCCTAAAAGTCATACATTCTCAATCCCATTTTTCACTTCAAATCTCTATCCTTTTAGTTCAACATATCATAAGGAGCAAAAGAAAATCAAATTTCAAGTAAAGATTGTTCATTTTCATCTACAGTGCTCACATTAATCATGAAAGTTTGTCGGAAAAAACTTACGCAATGTCTGGAGATATATCTCTAAAACATGTTGAACATGAACTTTTCCGAATATATATTTATGGAATGTTTTTGTGTTTATTATCCATCCTTTTTTGCCGCAATAGATTAATTTTTTTTAGTGTTTTTATTGTTTCCAATAATATGATGCACCTCGATAATATCTCAAAACAAGTAGTTTCTTCGAACGATGTTTCTCCGAATGTTCAAGGAGTTGTTGTAGAGGTGGTAGATGTTGACGACGACTTTATTAACAAGAAAGAGTTTGAAAACGCTCAAATGGATTTGTATGGTGGCATCTAGACTTGGATTTGGTGAGGTTATCTGAAGGTCGGATAATAGCTCGGATAGAAGAAACACATTTGCGGCTATGTTGTGCGAAAGAAGCGGGAGCTATAGAACGTATGTCCGTATTTTTAAGAGAGAAGACACGAGAGTAGAAAATGTGAGTGTTCATTTAAGCTTCGTGGTTACATCTTGGCTAGCAAAAAATGGAGATTTAATGTCATTTGTGGTTTGCATAACCATGATTTGTGCTTAAAGTTAGTCGATCATCCTAGTGTATGTCGGCTCAAGCCGGAAGAGAAGGTATGTATTAGTGACATGATCTTGAATCTTGTATAGCCTAAAAATATACTTGCAATATTAAAACGAAAGCAAACCGATAATATATCAAATATCAAGCAAGTGTATAATATTTGGTACCTCACTAACAAGGCGATTAGGAGAGACATAATTGAGATGCAACAATTGTTGAAACTGTTGGACGATAACAGTTACGTGTCTCGGTACCGAACTTGCGACAAAGAAGTTACGATTAAAGATGTTTTTTGGACTCATCCGGATTTGATAAAGTTGTTCGACACATTTTTAACAGCGCTCATACTTGATTCTACCTACAAGACTAATAGGTATAGAATTCCATTATTTGGGATGGTTGATACCTCAATTGAGAAGACATATTCTGTTGGTTTTTCACTTTTAGAGTGTGAAAAAATGGACAATTTTATTTGGGCATTAGAGGTGTGTCAGTCACTTTTGAAGGATCAAGGTGAGATGCTTAAAGCTATTGTTACGGACCACGATACCACAATGATGAATGTGGTTGCAAAGGTATTTTCTTCTTCTTATGCATTACCTTGTAGGTATCACATAACAAAAAATGTGAGAAGTCAGGTTAAACCTGCAGTAGGGACGAAACAAGTAGAGTCTGATGGTTGAAAATTGCTGAAGTCAGGTGTGATTGTCAAAAAAAATAATGGATGCATGGAATCATATAATAAATTCTTTCTCAAAAGAATTATATGCTAATTGCGTCATTCATTTCCAGAAAGTGTGTGAAAAGTATCCTGCTTTGTTGAAATACATTAAAAGCACCATTCTTGATCAGGTGAAAGAGAAGATAGTTTGTGTGTGGACTGACAATGTCTGACACCTTAGAAATACAACTACCAACAGAGTTAAGTCGGCCCATGCTACTTTGAAGATTTTGTTGGGAAATAGCAAGGGGGACTTATGTTGATACTGGGACTCTGTGAACCACGTCATTCAAAACAAACATAATAAGATACAAACAACATTTGGTCGGAGCATCACAGTTTTTGAACACCAATTTAAAGACAATAACCTTTATTCTCATTTGGTCGACAACATTTCTCAGGCGAGGTTGAACTATATTGAAGGCTCCTTGGTTTTGATTGGCATTAATTTTAGTAAAACAAACGTAACTAAACATGTTGGACAGGATGTCCTAACATGCTGAAGAGCTTGAAGAACAAGATGTCAGACAAGATGTCCTAACCGTGTGGTTCGACATCTGTGTCTGCTATAAGGGTTATTTCTATTTTGAATCTGGTGATTTAATTCAATTACAGTTGATTGATTTTGTACCCTAGGTGACGCTCAAATTAAGGAATCAGAGATTCTAGTAGAATTTGGAGTTATGTCGTTTTCTAAAGTATGGAGACTTTTTAGGAAACTTGGGATTGAAGAATATATTGTTGAGGAGAATATTTTACAGATTTTGTGGTGCAGAATTGTTGTTGTGTTGAAGCTCATATCCAGTTTTATTTAGGGTTATAAATATGATGGATTTAACCTAGTTTATGTATCGAAAATCGCATTGAGTTTTGTGAGTTTTTAGGGTTTATGCTTTGTGAGCCTCTTTTGTATTATGTGAATACTTGAATTATTTTATTGAGTTATAATTGTTCAGTCACTAATGTGATTGAAAGAGAATTGAGAAGGGTCTCATACCTAGGAGAGTCTTAGGTAGAAATATAGCACGTGTAGTGTTTAAGTGACAAGTTGTAAACAGGAGAGTTTAGCTTTGAAGTAATACTACTTAATGGATTTCATTCTTGGCTTGGAAGCCCCCACACGTAGATGAGTTACACCGAATTGGGTTAACAACTGTTGTGTGTTTCTTTACTTTTTGCATTCTGCTATTGTGTTTGTTCTTGTCATTGAGAAGCATAGATCAAGTGTATCGACATCCTGTTAGGACATCTTCGTGATCTGCTATACCAGAATTTCAATTGGTATCAGACCAGGCATCTTGCTTTGTATCTGTGTGAGATTCAGGGACGTTACTTTCTGGTCCAATAGACAGGGAAGAAAGTATATTGAATAGATCTCCTGTTCTCGATGGATCCAATTGCGAATTTTAGAAAGTTCGCATGGTGGACTTTCTTAAGACAGATGTTAAGGCCTGGAAAGTTGTTGTCAAAGGGTGGGATCCACCAAAGGTGAAGGGTGTCGATGGAAAAATCAATGATGTTATCAAACCAAAGGAGGACTGAGATGATGAAGATGATAAGTTAGCTCAAGGAAATTCTAAGGCCTTGAATGCCATCTTCATGGAGTGGACAAAAGTATCTTCAGATTAATAAAGAATTGCACTATTGCAAAAGTTGCGCGGGAGACCTTGAAGACTGCTTATGAAGGAACTTCTAAGGTAAAATCATCAAGACTTCAGCTTCTTACAACCAAGTTTGAGAACTTGAAGATGTGGGAGGATGCACTCAAGACTTTCATATGAACATTCTTGATATAGCTAACTCATCAAGTGATATAGGAGAGAAGATTCCTAAAGCCAAGCTGGTTCAGAAGATCTTAAGATCTTTGTCAAAAGGGTTTGACATGAAGGTAACTGCCATTGAGGAAGCTCAAAACCTAAATACCATGAAGGTTGATGAACTCATGGGATCTCTTCAGATCTTTGAATCAGCAATCAATGAAAAATAAAAAAGGAAAAAGAGTATTGCCTTGGTTTCTAATCAAGATGAATGTGAGTCAATGAATAATTGTCTAAATCCCTTATGGTACTTGGAAAACAGTACAGTCAACTTCTAAAAAGGGTGGATGGTGAGTCTAGACCAAATGTCAAAACTCAGTAATCCAACTTCAACAGAAGGAAGGAATTTGGAAAAAGGTCAGAATCTGAAGAGAACGTGAACAAAGGAAAGGGTGTCCAATGTTTTGAATGTGAAGGGTTCAGGCATGTTAGATCTGAGTGTCCTACCTTTCTCAAAAAGGAGAAGAAGGATCGGTCTGCATCTTGGTCTGAGGATGATTCAGGTAGTGAAGAAGGATCTGCTAAAAATGTTGTTGCTTTTACTGGAATGTAAAATATGATGAAGAATTAGATGTTGGAGATCTCTCGTTTGATGAACTTGTTAAATTCTGAAAGAAGTTATGCACCAGAAATTCAAAACTTTGTCATCTAGGAGAAAATCAACATAATATGATTGTTTGTCTTCAGGATGAAAGGTTGAAGCATCTGAGGGTTATCTCAAACCTGGAGGATGAGGTAGCTTTGGTCAACTCAAAATTTGACAGTATGATCAAGACAGTAAGAATGTTGAATAACGATTCTAATGTTCTAGATGAAGTTCTTCAATCCGGAAGGAATTCCAGAGATGGTAAAGGACTTGGTTATAATGATAAAGGAAAAAGGAAGACTACAAATTCTGCTCATCCTAAAAGAAGGCAGAATAGAAGGAAATCAAACTAGATGTCCCAACATTACCAAGGACATCAAAAGAAGTCTTCAAGTAAGAAGAATCAAAACTGGAAATGCCATCATTGTGGTGAGCTTGGGCACATAAAGCCTTACTGCTATGAGTTGCATGGGTATCCAAACCTTATGTTCAATCCAAGAAGAAACAGGATGATAAAGGTAAGAAGAAGTGGAGTGCTAAGAGTGAAAATGTTGCGCTAATAGCACACACCTCCCTACGAGCATCTGCTAGAGAGGATTGGTATTTTGATAGTGGTTGTTCTAGACACA